TTTTTGATTTTTCCAAATTTTGACGTTTCTGAATTTTCTCAATTAATCAATTTTTTGATTTTCCCATTTCTCAAATTCCCAAAGTTTCGATGTTTCAGTCCTTAATTCTTCGACTTTTCAGGTTTTTGATTTTTCAATTTTTTGATATTTTAAGTTTGCGCTTTTTCGATTTTGCTGTTTTGACTTTTTGATGCTTCAATTTTTCAATTTTTTTATTTCCCAATTTTTGGATATTTCCTCCAATTTTGTGACTTTTCAGTTTCTCGATTTTTCAATTTTTCGATATTTGAGTTTTGGCATTTTTTAGTATTTCGCGGCGGGTGGACGGGGCTTAATTTTTATATATTTTTTTTAATATAGAGAGTTTTCTTTCAACAACAGGATAATTAAACATGTTGTCAGTTTCTTGTTGGGAAAATAAGACCTCGTATATTAAGATAAAATGCACAAAATATAAGTTCCGCCCACCCACCCCTTCTTCAAATTTCGACCAAATTTTCACTTTTTGGAAACTTAACCAAATACATTTTCTTGTAGATTTCGACCTCTAGAGTACACTTCCGGTCTAGTTCCTTTGATGACTGCAACCGTTTTCCCAGAATTGGCCGTTGAAATATCGAAATTTTTAGAAATTTCCAAAAATTCACGTTTCTTGCCGATTTTTTCGAAAATGTTGCTCCGTATCCACCAACATGCTATATTTTTGGAATCAGCATGTCGAGATTTACGTGCTTGAATTTTTTCACAATTTTTAGACAACTTTTTTAAAAGTGAAATTTTTCCAATGGTCCCCCCTTCTTCAAATTTCGGCCAAATTTTCACATTTTCGAAACTTAACTAAATACATTTTCTTGTAGATTTCGACCTCTAGAGTACACTTCCGGTCTCGCTTCTTTGATGACTGCAACCGTTTTCCCAGAATCGGCCGTTGAAATATCGAAATTTTTAGAAAATTCCAAAAATTCACTTTTCGTGCCGATTCTTTCGAAAATGTTGCTCCTAATCCACCAACATGCTATATTTTTGGAATCAGCATGTCGAGATTTACGTGCTTGAATTTTTCCACAATTTTTAGACAACTTTTTTAAAAGTGAAATTTTTCCAATGGTCCCCCCTTCTTCAAATTTCGACCAAATTTTCAATTTTTGGAAACTTAACTAAATACATTTTCTTGTAGATTTCGACCTCTAGAGTACACTTCCGGTCTCGTTTCTTTGATGACTGCAACTGTTTTCCCAGAATCGGCCGTTGAAATATCGAAATTTTTAGAAATTTCCAAAAATTCACGTTTCGTGCCGATTCTTTCGAAAATGTTGCTCCTTGGCCATCAATATGCTATATTTTTGGAATCAGCATGTCGAGATCTACATCCCTGAATTTTTTCAGAATTTTTAGACAACTTTTGTAAAAGTGAAATTTTTCCAATGGTCCCACCTTCTTCAAATTTCGACCAAATTTTCACATTTTCGAAACTTAACTAAATACATTTTCTTGTAGATTTCGACCTCTAGAGTACACTTCCGGTCTCGCTTCTTTGATGACTGCAACCGTTTTCCCAGAATCGGCCGTTGAAATTTCGAAATTTTTAGAAATTTCCAAAAATTCACGTTTCTTGCCGATTCTTTCGAAAATGTTGCTCCGTATCCACCAACATGCTATATTTTTGGAATCAGCATGTCGAGATTTACGTGCTTGAATTTTTTCACAATTTTTAGACAACTTTTTTAAAAGTGAAATTTTTCCAATCGTCCCCCCTTCTTCAAATTTCGGCCAAATTTTCACATTTTCGAAACTTAACTAAATACATTTTCTTGTAGATCTCGACCTTTAGAGTACACTTCCGGTCTCGTTTCTTTGATGACTGCAACTGTTTTCCCAGAATCGGCCGTTGAAATATCGAAATTTTTAGAAATTTCCAAAAATTCACGTTTCTTGCCGATTCTTTCGAAAATGTTGCTCCGTATCCACTAACATGCTATATTTTTGGAATTAGCATGTCGAGATTTACGTGCTTGAATTTTTTCACAATTTTTTAGACAACTTTTTTAAAAGTGACATTTTTCCAATGGTCCCCCCTTCTTCAAATTTCGACCAAATTTTCACTTTTTGGAAACTTAACTAAATACATTTTCTTGTAGATTTCGACCTCTAGAGTACACTTCCGGTCTCGCTTCTTTGATGACTGCAACTGTTTTCCCAGAATCGGCCGTTGAAATATCGAAATTTTTAGAAATTTCCAAAAATTCACGTTTCGTGCCGATTCTTTCGAAAATGTTGCTCCTTGGCCATCAATATGCTATATTTTTGGAATCAGCATGTCGAGATCTACATCCCTGAATTTTTTCAGAATTTTTAAACAACTTTTGTAAAAGTGAAATTTTTCCAATGGTCCCCCCTTCTTCAAATTTCGACCAAATTTTCACATTTTCGAAACTTAACTAAATACATTTTCTTGTAGATTTCGACCTCTAGAGTACACGTCCGTTCTCGCTTCTTTGATGACTGCAACCGTTTTCCCAGAATCGGCCGTTGAAATTTCGAAATTTTTAGAAATTTCCAAAAATTCACGTTTCTTGCCGATTCTTTCGAAAATGTTGCTCCGTATCCACTAACATGCTATATTTTTGGAATTAGCATGTCGAGATTTACGTGCTTGAATTTTTTCACAATTTTTTAGACAACTTTTTTAAAAGTGACATTTTTCCAATGGTCCCCCCTTCTTCAAATTTCGACCAAATTTTCACTTTTTGGAAACTTAACTAAATACATTTTCTTGTAGATTTCGACCTCTAGAGTACACTTCCGGTCTGGCTTCTTTGATGACTGCAATCGTTTTTTCAGAATCGGCCGTTGAAATATCGAAATTTTTGGAAAATTCCAAAAATTCACTTTTCGTGCCGATTCTTTCGAAAATGTTGCTCATAATCCACCAACATGCTATATTTTTGGAACCAGCATGTCGAGATCTACGTCCCTGAATTTTTTCACAATTTTTAGACAACTTTTTTAAAAGTGAAATTTTTCCAATGGTCCCCCCTTCTTCAATTTTCGGCCAAAATTTCACATTTTCGAAACTTAACTAAATACATTTTCTTGTAGATTTCGACCTCTAGAGTACACTTCCGGTCTCGATTCTTTGATGACTGCAACCGTTTTCCCAGAATTTTCCGTTGAAATATCGAAATTTTTAGAAATTTCCAAAAATTCACGTTTCGTGCCGATTCTTTCGAAAATGTTGCTCCTTGGCCACCAACATGTATATCTTTGGAATCAGCATGTCGAGATCTACATCCCTGAATTTTTTCACAATTTTTAGACAACTTTTTTAAAAGTGAAATTTTTCCAATGGTCCCCCCTTCTTCAAATTTCGATCAAATTTTCACATTTTCGAAACTTAACTAAATACATTTTCTTGTAGATTTCGACCTCTAGAGTACACTTCCGGTCTCGTTTCTTTGACGACTGCAACCTTTTTCCCAGAATCGGCCGTTGAAATATCGAAATTTTTAGAAATTTCCAAAAATTCACGTTTCGTGCCGATTCTTTCGAAAATGTTGCTCCTTGGCCACTAACATGCTATATTTTTGGAATCAGCATGTCTAGATCTACGTGCCTGAATTTTTTCACAATTTTTAGACAACTTTTTTAAAAGTGAAATTTTTCCAATGGTCCCCCCTTCTTCAAATTTCGACCAAATTTTCACATTTTCGAAACTTAACTAAACACATTTTCTTGTAGATTTCGACCTCTAGAGTACACTTCTGGTCTCGTTTCTTTGATGACTGCAATCGTTTTCCCAGAATCGGCCGTTGAAATATCGACATTTTTAGAAATTTCCAAAAATTCACGTTTCGTGCCGATTCTTTCGAAAATGTTGCTCCTTGGCCACTAACATGCTATATTTTTGGAATCAGCATGTCTAGATCTACGTGCCTGAATTTTTTCACAATTTTTAGACAACTTTTTTAAAAGTGAAATTTTTCCAATGGTCCCCCCTTCTTCAAATTTCGACCAAATTTTCACATTTTCGAAACTTAACTAAACACATTTTCTTGTAGATTTCGACCTCTAGAGTACACTTCTGGTCTCGTTTCTTTGATGACTGCAATCGTTTTCCCAGAATCGGCCGTTGAAATATCGACATTTTTAGAAATTTCCAAAAATTCACGTTTCGTGCCGATTCTTTCGAAAATGTTGCTCCGTGACCATCAACACGCTATATTTTTGGAATCAGCATGTCGAGATCTACCTCCTTGAATTTTTTCACAATTTTTAGACAACTTTGGGGCTTAATCTTTCAAACATTTTTTGGCGCAAAGAACAAGAGATATTATAATAAAAAAAACATAAAGTCAATCTATTATTCATAACTTTCGACCAACTTTTTTTGCTGAGTTTCAAAAAGCCTTTATTAATAACAAGTCGTTGGTTCGAATATCCACAGATCTTAATTGGCGCTGGAAAATCCTATTTTTTATTTGTCGTCGAAGAGAGAACATAACACGTGGTAAACAATAAAACAAGCTTCGATTTATTTGAATATTGACTTTTAGTTAATTATCCTGTTGAGGAACCGGTGTATTTTATATGACAAAAACTTTTCTTCATAAAAACAAGTTATAATGTTTAGTCAGCGAACGATTAACTATAAACAAGTAAATATTAAAGAAGCATCAAAACAAACAAACAAAAACATCGTCAACCAAGTTCAAGCATCATTAGCACCGAAGTACTAAAATATATATTTTTTAACGTAAGTAAAGTCCACTCCGTTCGAAAATAACAAACGCCACATTTCCGTATTCTCGTAATTAACTTAATGTCATATCCTTCCCGATAAAATTCTTTCTTAATAAATAAACGACTTCGAGATTAATAGCAACTAATTACTCTCCTTGAAACTAGACAGTAAGGTGAACCACCTCCGAACGCATTTCTTAACCAAACTATCTCAATTACTAAACCCATTACGACACTCCTATCCAAAATAAAAAACACGCTTAAACTATCCTAATTATCTTTATTTACAACAACAGCACACTAATGACAATAATAGGTACCATAATCACAATAAATACGTCCACAGGAATACGAACCACCCATTAACAATCTTAAATAGGTTTCCATTGCGCGATCGCTCTCTGCGAGTCGGGCGCCTTGCCAAAAGGCCTCGTCCCATCCGAAGCGACATATCGATTCACTTGATAATCAAGCAGAGTTTGATAATGATAAACGTCAGTTCCGAGTTGCTAAAAGTTCTCCGTCTAATCGTCGTCATCTCGAGAAAAATATTTTTTACCTGTGTCAAGGGGCTGGTGTTGGTCGTAAATATCCCCTCGAAGTGTCTGCGCGTCGCCAACCTGAGCACTTCATCCTCCATAAATTGCATAACGGCTACGTTTTCTTTGGGCGATAAAGTCGAATGGGTGCCCATCATGAACGAGTGCAGGATCTTGCCTTTGCCGGTGGGCAGCTGCTCGTCCCTGAAAAATCACAAACCGTAGCGGGCGTCTCTAATTCCCGACAGATACCAACCTTACGGGTCCTTCCACGCATTCCAGGAACTCGAATATCACAGTCAGTTTTGAGGTAATTTCCACGTCGGGCTCGTCCCTCGCGTCGAAGTTGAGCCCCACTCCGACTATCTTCCCCGAGTCGGATTTAGTAACGAAACTCAAAGCTTTGTCGAGAAGGGGCTCCCACAGAGCGTCGATGAGTTCCGTGTAGTCGGATTCGAATATATCCGGCATGAGCCACTGCTCCAGGTCGGCTTTCTGGTAGAAACTCGTCGTGATAATGCTGCAACGAACCCTCAGTAAAATAAAAATAAAACTAGCACGTTCACTTACTCAATAACCGCCGATTTGTGCTCGTTTTTCAGCAACTCGGCTGTGAAAATCGGGCTCGATCTTTCGGGGTTCGCTGACGAAGTCATCCGTTGTAAAACTTCACCCAAATCGGCCGCCGATAAGAAATCTCCGATGCCTACGAAAAGCCAAGACTAACAAGTGCGATTCATTAATTTCGCGCTAATTACTTATGTGGTAACCTTCCTCGTTGAGTCGCGTTATCGTGTAGATCGAGTTGAGCGAGTTGCCGCCGATTTCGTAAAAGTTGGCTTTGAGAGAAATCGCAGCTCGGGCGGTTCTGTTAAGCACGGAGGCCACGGTGTCGAAGAGCACCTTGGCGGCTTCCATCTTCTCGCTTTCCACTCCAGAGTAGTCAATATCAATCTCCACGCAAGCGTCATCATTATTATTTGTACTTTCGTAACTCTTTAACAAAGCTTGTCTGTCGATTTTCCCGTTGACCAACAAGGGGATGCTTTCCACTAGTACTACTTGGGGGACCATGTACTCTGTGAGTTTTTGTCTTAACATATTTTCGATTTGGTTTTCGTTCATCAAAGCTGCACTTTTCACGAATGCTAAGAGTGCCTGGTTCATCTCGCCGGGTTGGTAGCACAAAACCACGGCCTTCTCGACTCCGTTGACCCCACTGACTGCCTTTTCCACCTCCGACAGGTCCACCCTATGTCCGCGAATCTTCACCTGAGAGTCGGTGCGTCCTTCGTATAGTAAAATCCCGGTTTCGAGACGTGCAAAGTCACCCGTTCGGTATAACTTGGAGAAAATGGGGTCGATGGCGAGTTGGTTATCGACGAATTTGTCTTTGTCGCGACCGTTGACGTAACCAGCGGCTAAGTTAGACCCGCTGACGAAGAGCTCACCGATTTCGCCGTCTTTCACCGGACGCAGCTCGGAATCCAAAAGGTACACTATTGTGTTGTCGACGGGGATGCCTACAATTGGAAAAATCAAACAATGAAACTCTAGGTGTAGATAAACCAACCAATGGGGGCGGTAAGACGGTTGTTCAGCTGCTGGGTGTTCGAAATTACATAGAAGGTAACGTCACCCATGATTTCAGTGCTGCCATAAAAATTACACAAGCGATAGTCCTCCTGGGGGAAATACTTGAAGAAGTCGGCAGCAAGGGACGTGGTGAGGGTCTCCCCGGAACAAACCCACAAGCGCAGACATTTCAGCAACGACGTGTTTTTCTTTAACTCAAGACACATGAGAATGGACCTTAACAACGACGGCACTAGGACTAGTCTCTGGATTCCGTACCCATCCAAAGTTTGGATTAGCTTCTCCGGGTCTAGCGTGACCCTCTTGGGTACCACTAGCACGGACAACCCGTTCACCAAAGGCCCCCAGATCTCGGAAACGCTGTCCACAAATGTGAGCGCCGTCTTGAAAACGCAAACCTTCTCACTGTCGCCGTACGGGAACGCTTTGAACTGCCACTGCAATCTATTCAAGATGACTTTGTGAGGAATTCTCACCCCTATAAAACACGAATTAACCCTCTGATTGTTGTTTGAGTCGTTCCAACCTTTCGGTATTCCCGTGCTCCCTGACGTGTACAACACAATCGCTAAGTCGTCCTTGTGGTGTCGCAGCCGCTCCTCCAGACCTTTCTCTGACTGACCCGCGCTCGCTGCGACTAACTCCTGGTGCGACAGTTTTGGGGTTTGAGCAAAGTCCTTGGTATCTATGGACGGATTTAAGTAAACGTCGTTACAAATTTTCGGGATTTACCTTCGTCGTAGATGACCACGACGGGTTGGGCTTCCTGGAGGATGTGCTCGATTCGCGAGGCTGGAAATGAGTGGTCTAGAGGCAAGTACGCACACCCGGCTTTCCAAATTGACAAGAGAACGAGCACCAGGTGGTCGGACGGGTGCATGTTGACGGCGACAATATAGTCACCGTCGGAGTTGGGGGACAAGCTTTGGGTTTTCACCAGGTCGATAATAGTTCGGGCGAAGCGCGTGGTGATGCGGTCCACCTGGAGGTACGAGAGCTTGCGCACTTCGCCATTTTCTTCGAAAATAAGGGCTGTATTGTCGGATGATGGCCCCGTGGCCACTTTTTCGAAGAGGGTGTCGATTTGAGTGTGACTGAGGCTTCGGGGTGGCCCCTTTAGCACGGATAACTGGGGAAGGGAACCCATTGTGTCGATCTGCAATTATAATGTTAATTAGTGAATTTTTTGTTCTCGATATACGCCAACTGCAGGTGAAAAGAAATCGGTTAATTTATTATGGTTTAATTCAAGGCGACTATCAATTGTGTATTTCATTTTTCAGAATGCAGAAGGTTGAGATAAAAACCTTGGTTGTGCATTCAATTAATTGCTGTTAATTTTAGAACGTGAGATTTTTCCTAGTTATAATGTAAGTTTATTTTGTTTGATTTTTTAGCTCGTGGTGTGCCGCTTGGCTCAAAAGCGGGCCGTGCTATAACTGTGCCGCTTCCAGCAAAAACCTACTATACTATGTAACGTCAAAAAATGGTAACTAAGATATAGGAAAATTATTCAAGCGTACGTCACTATAATTTAAGAGTCAAATTGCTGCCGGCTTTTTTAATAACCAGTTATCTGGAATCTCCAACGACGTTTTTGTGGGAGACGTCTCATTAAGAAATTATCTTTTTACGTCAGTCTTCTAAATGCCACCTTATAAACAAATACTTAGCATAATTACCGTCAGGTGATCTTGACGTTGTAAGTTCGACGACTTTATTCCACAAATAGGTCACTTTTTTTTAATCACAAAACACCTAAAACATGTAAATTTATGTAAATAATCATTCTCCTACTTCGTCTTGATATTTTTGACCAAAAAAATCACTCTCGGATTTTGAAGAGATTAAAATTCTTTTTAGTACATTAAAATTTTGCTCTTTTTTTTTGAGTGGAAAATATTGACCTTCGCATTCCTCCGATTATCATTTATTGCTCATAATGCGATTACTTGTATATTTTTCAACTTTTTACGCTCCATATTTATTATAATAACCTTAAGGTGCCACCAGCAATGAATTACCTTTACAAGATCTACACGACGGGGAAAAAATAAATGTGAATGTAAAAATAGTTAGAAAGAAAAGTACGTTTCACCGTTATATTTTTATCGCGTAATTGTACACATTGTTGACGTTTAGCACATCGCATCAACATGTCTTCTCCTTCGAAAACCGTGAAATTTTTCCCGCTCCACCCCATTTCGCCCAATTTTAATTACGCAAATAAATTACTACAAATGCCCGAATTCTTCGAAATCTGCCTCATTGTCGCCCCTAATTGTGGTTTGTCGAAACACGTCCCGGCCTATCCGACTAATTAAATTTTTGTCAAATTCCTCGGCGACGTTATAACATTAATAACGCGTTCTCAAATCATTACTCTTCTTTCAAACAGGTATTAATTAAAGCTCGTCACTCGTTCAGCTCGCAGTTCGATATTGTTGACGGTGAAATTCGCTGATGATAATCTTAAATTACGTGTATCAAACTCACATTATAATTCATTTCGCGACGTCGCGCCAATAAAACGCGCATTTCCATCGATTTCGATTTAATAGCTCGTAAAGTGGAGTGACACTGGGGCATTATGGTTTATTTCGTAAACGTAAAGTTACAGTAAAAGGCGGCAACACATGGCTTTATTGGCAGACGTTTCCCAGTTTTGGGAGGAAATCGGAGAAGCGCAAGCTTTTTATCTCGAGTTGTGTAATTCCCAAAAAGCTACAAAAATAACGCGCTCTGACAAGGTTTTCATTAAGACGTTATTGTGTTATTCGGAGACGAACTGAGAGTTTGAAAAGTGGCGCGAACACAGAAGTTATTGTTGTTTTTAAGAGTGGTTACTAGTTTTTTTGTGAGATTTGCGGCATCTTCCATAAATAATTACGTACACCTGCGTTTAATAAAATTTATCCTTCAATGAACACCTGTAAAAAATTCCATTTCATATTCCATAAAGCTCAGTTTTTTTTAATTAAGTAGTTGTGTAAGATCCCCCGCAGCTATTTGCCTTCACGTAAAGGCTAAAAGTCCGCACAACTAAATTATTTTAAAATTAATTAATTCGAGTTAAATTTCAAAGGGTTTGTGGTGGCGCAACAAACACAATTTTCGCATTAAAATTAACTCGGCGTTAAATTAAAGCAAAAAACGTTGAAATCGATGCATGTTGCAATCGCTTGACCTTTACTTCATTGAAGACCTCGCAATAAGCAATAAATCATTTAATTAGAGACCGCGCTACCGTTTGCATTCCATAAATCAGCGAAATCAAATACTTAGATAAATATAGAAAAGTGCACCCTCTCACCTCCGACTATAATTCACTGTTCGGTATCCTGCACTTGACTCGCCACGAAACCGATGATTGATGGTTCAAAAGCAACTAAAAGAGCCGGTGGTCATGTGCAAAATATATAAAGTGTTTGAAAGAGATGGTTACAGAGTAAGCACCTAAGAGGGGAGAGGCAATTTAATTTTGAATAAATAGTGTGGTGGTCCCCCTCTTAGTAAAAACCCACACCAATGTTATGGCGACTTCTGTTTACGTTTGTACTCATTCAGTACTGGGAAGTCTCTCTTGAGTACAACCTTCCGGTTTTTTGACCCAACTCACGATAAGATGGAAAACCCGCTGTAGTTGATTGCGTGCGTTATCGGATTAGCGCACAATTGAAACCGACTTCTTGGGTTAAATATTTGCACTTCATTTAATTTCTCAGACGAAAAAAGTCCAGAACGCGTTAGTTTCAAAATTATTCAATTATTCCACTTGGCGTTTTTTTAATTGAAAACCTTCTCTTCAAGAGCTTTCTGTTGCACGACACAAGGAAACGTCTTCCGACAATCGATCGGAAACTTTTTCGGACGTGCACAACTCGCCCTAAAAGCTTTTGTGTGCGGCAACTTCGAGATAGTTATTACCAGCCAAGTTAAACATTGGCGGTCTTGTATGAAAACTCGAATGGAAATGAACCGCTGTATTCACTGCAAAACCCAGCAGCTTCAAGGAGCTTTTTTTCCTTTCGCGCTGAATAGGTAGCTGGGACGAGGCTGGGACCTTCACCGGAGCAAAAATTCTACTTCTCTAGACCCTAAACAACGCCAATTCGCAGGTTAGCGCGTCATCCTTCAGCAAGGCGTTCGTGCTTGCTCGTCGCATACTCCATAAATTTTTCCTTTCAATTGAATAAAACGACTTTATTCCGAATTTAATTCCGGCAAAGTGAGCTCGTAAAACCTCGCTCACATAATATCCTTGTATTATTCGCCCGAATCCAATCCCGCCGCTGCAAGAACACTGATTCGAGGTGCCTTTAAATTTAGATTAGGAGACACCGCAATTATCATATGTTGTAAAGTCTTTTGTTGCTGGCGAAAGGGGGTAAATTGGACAGGGTGGCGGCGGCGCGCTTATCTGAGAACAGGTTCATTTTTGGTGGCGGCGTATCAAAACAAAATCTTTATACCCATTTTTTTGTATTAATATATAGGGTTTTTCATGAAAAAATCACGATATTCAAAAACATGTCTTAATTTCTTCCAGAGAAATAAGATTTTTGCAATTAAGCTCCGCCCTCTTGGCTCAAGACGAATAAAAAAATCATCACAATTGAGATAGGGCTGGTGGGTGGGACTTATATTTTGTCTTTTTCGTCTTAATATACCTAGTGATCTTTTCACAACAAAAACTTAAAACAGATGACTACGTATATTTAGAAAAAAAGGCACAAGAGAAGCCCCGCCCACCCGCCCTATCGCAATCGTGATGATTTTTTTTTATGCGTCGTAAGTCGTGGGGCGGAGCTTAATTGCAAAATCCTTGTTTTTCTACGAGAAATTGCTATAAAACATATTCTTGAGTAATCATATTGTTTAAAGCAAACCGTACATCTTAAGTAAAAAAGAAAGCTAAAAGATAAGCCTGGTTTTAATTTTTACTTAATATACATTGCATTTTTTGAACAACATTACATGGTAATTTCTTGTAGAGAAATAAGGATTTTGCAATTAAGCTCCGCCCTCTTGCCTCACGACAAATAAAAATCATTACAATTGAGATAGGGTGGGTGGGCGGGGATTAATTTTATATCTATATTTTTATATTTTTTACGTTTTCTCGACCTTTCGTGACATCTACGGTACGAAGAAATGGGTCTCTCGTTTCCGTTACCCCATTGTCTCGAGAGTGAGAGAAAACGCACGTCTTTACATAATAATGATAAAATAAGAATTCTAATGTTCATAACATTTTGTTCGACTGTGGTTTAATCAGTAGTTTTAGTTCTCTGTTTTGACAAGACAAAATCATTCAAATCAATAGAGAAATATGTATTTTGCAATTACGCTCCGCCCCTCGGTCTAACAACGAATGAAAAATCCATTGAGATCGGGGCGGGTGGGTGGGGCTTAATCTTATTTTTTTTTTAATATATACAATTTTCTTTCAACAACAGGATAGTTAAACATGTTGTCAGTTTCTTGTTGGGAAAAGAAGACTACGTATATTAAGATAAAATGGACAAAATATAAGCCCCGCCCACCCACCCCTTCGCAATTGTGATGAATGTGTTATTCAGCATGAGCTAGAGGGCGAAGTTTAGTTTGCAACATCCTCATTTCTCTACAAGAAATTGCCATATGGAATATGTTTTTAAAAGGATACAATTTTTTTAGAGAAATATTGACGTAAAAACATATTTGATATGATAATTTTTTGTAGACAAAAGAGAATTTTACAATTAAACTCCGCCCTTTAACTCACAATGAATAAAGCATTCGTCACAATTGAGAAGGGGTGGGTGGGCGGGGCTTATATTTGGTCCATTTTATCTTAATATACGAAGTCTTCTTTTCCCAATAAGAAACTCACAACATGTTTAACTGTCCTGTTGTTGAAAGAAAACTCTATATACTTAAAAAAAAACAAAAATTAAGCCCCGCTCACCCGCCCCGATCTCAGTTGTGATGAGTTTTTCATTCCTAATCAGACCGAAGGGCGGAGTTTAATTGCAAAACCCTCATTTTTCTACAAGAAATTATCATATGATATATGTTTTTACAACAATATTTTTCTAAAAAATTCTACCCTTTTAAAAACATATTTCATATGGCAATTGCTTGTAGACATAGAAGACTACGTATACTAATAATAAAATGGACAAAATATAAGCCCCGCCCACCCACCCCTTCGCAATTCTGATGAATGTTGTATTGGTCATGAGCTAGAGGGCGAAGTTTAGTTTGCAACATCCTCACTTCTCTACAAGAAATTCCCATATGGAATAGGTTTTTAAAAAGATAGAATTTTTTTAGAGAAATATTGACGTAAAAACATATTTCATATGATAATTTTTTGTAGAGAAAAGAGAATTTTACAATTAAACTCCGCCCTTCAACTCACAATGAATAAAGCATTCGTCACAATTGAGAAGGGGTGGGTGGGCGGGGCTTATATTTGGTCCATTTTATCTTAATATACGAAGTTTTCTTTTCCCAATAAGAAACTGACAACAAGTTTAACTATCATGTTGTTGAAAAAAACTCTATATATAAAAAAAAATAAGCCCCACCCACCCGTCCCATCTCAATTGTGACCAGTTTTTCATTGCAAATCTGACCGAAGAGCGGAGTTTAATTGCAAAATCCTCTTTTCTCTACAAGAAATTATCATATCAAATATTTTTTACATCAATATTTCTCTAAAAAAATTCTACCTTTTTAAAAACATATTTCATATGGCAATTTCTTGTAGAGAATGAGGCTGTTGCAAACTAAATTTCGCTCTTCAGCTCATGACCAATAAAGCATTCGTCACAATTGAGTAGGGGTGGGTGGGCGGGGCTTATATTTTGTCCATTTTATCTTAATATACGAGGTCTTATTTTCCCAACAAGAAACTGACAACATGTTTAACTATCCTGTTGTTAAAAGAAAACTCTATATACTTAAAAAAACAAAAATTAAGCCCCGCTCACCCGCCCCGATCTCAATTGTGATGAGTTTTTCATTCCTAATCAGACCGGAGGGCGGAGTTTAATTGCAGAATCCTCATTTCTCTACAAGAAATTATCATATGATATATGTTTTTACAACAATATTTTTCTAAAAAATTCTACCGTTGTAAAAACATATTTCATATGGCAATTTCTTGTAGACAAAGAAGACTACGTATATTAATAATAAAATGAACAAAATATAAGCTCCGCCCACCCACCCCTTCGCAATTGTGATGAATGTTGTATTGGTCATGAGCTAGAGAGCGAAGTTTAGTTTGCAACATCCTCATTTCTCTACAAGAAATTGCCATATGGAATATGTTTTTAAGGATAGAATTTTTTTAGAGAAATATTGACGTAAAAACATATTTCATATGATATTTTTTTGTAGAGAAAAGAGAATTTTACAATTAAACTCCACCCTTCAACTCACAATGAATAAAGCATTCGTCACAATTGAGAAGGGGTGGGTGGGCGGGGCTTATATTTGGTCCATTTTATCTTAATATACGAAGTCTTCTTTTCCCAATAAGAAACTGACAACAAGTTTAACTATCATGTTGTTGAAAAAAACTTTATATATTAAAAAAATAATAATAAACCCCACCCACCCGCCCCATCTCAATTGTGACGAGTTTTTCATTGCAAATCAGACTGAAGAGCGGAGTTTAATTGAAAAATCCTCTTTTCTCTACAAGAAATTATCATATCAAATATTCTTTTACATCATTAATTCTCTAAAAAAATTCTACCTTTTTAAAAACATATTTCATATGGCAATTTCTTGTAGAGAATGAAACTGTTGCAAACTAAATTTCGCTCTTCAGCTCATGACCAATAAAGCATTCGTCACAATTGAGTAGGGGTGGGTGGGCGGGGCTTATATTTTGTCCATTTTATCTTAATATACGAAGTCTTATTTTCCCAACAAGAAACTCACAACATGTTTAACTGTCCTGTTGTTGAAAGAAAACTGTATATATTAAAAAAAAAGCAAAATTTAAGCCCCACCCACCCACCCGGATTTCAATTGTGATGAGTTTTTCATTCCTAATCAGACCGAAATTATCATATGGTATATGTTTTTACAACAATATTTTTCTAAAAAATTCTACCCTTGTAAAAACAAATTCCATATGGCAATTTCTTATAGACAAAGAAGACTACGTATATTAAGATAAAATGGACAAAATATAAGCCCCGCCCACCCACCCCTTCGCAATTGTGATAAATGTTGTATTGGTCATGAGCTAGAGGGCGAAGTTTAGTTTGCAACATCCTCATTTCTCTACAAGAAATTGCCATATGGAATATGTTTTCAAAAGGATAGAATTTTTTTAGAGAAATATTGACGTAAAAACATATTTCATATGATAATTTATTGTAGAGAAATGAGGATTTTACAATTAAACTCCGCCCTTCGGTCTAATTAGGAATGAAAAACTCATCACAATTGAGGTCGGGGCGGGTGGGTGGGGCTTAATTTTTATATATTTTTCTT